GTGGAGCTCCCTATGGTGCCACGAAACGTGTGAGGGGTGTGCCGAAATGGGTGTGGGGGCGCATGCGAACCCAGTCACTGGGGCCTTCAGTGGAAATCCCCATGGGGCCACGAAACGTGTGAGGGATGTGCCGAAATGGGTGTTGGGGAGGCATACGAACCAGGCCACTGGGGCCTTCGGTGGAGCTCCCTATGGGGCCACGAAACGTGTGAGGGGTGTGCCGAAATGGGTGGTGGGGAGGCATGCGGACCCTGCCACTGGGGCCTTCGGTGGAGCTCCCTATGGGGCCACGAAACGTGTGAGGGGTGTGCCGAAATGGGTGGTGGGAGGCATGCGAACCCTGCCACTGGGGCCTTCGGTGGAGCTCCCTATGGGGCCACGAAACGTGTGAGGGGTGTGCCGAAATGGGTGGTGGGGAGGCATGCGGACCCTGCCACTGGGGCCTTCGGTGGAGCTCCCTATGGGGCCACGAAACGTGTGAGGGGTGTGCCGAAATGGGTGGTGGGGAGGCATGCGGACCCTGCCACTGGGGCCTTCGGTGGAGCTCCCTATGGGGCCACGAAACGTGTGAGGGGTGTGCCGAAATGGGTGGTGGGGAGGCATGCGAACCCTGCCACTGGGGCCTTCGGTGGAGCTCCCTATGGGGCCACGAAACGTGTGAGGGGTGTGCCGAAATCGTGATGATGATGATGATGATGATGATGATGATGATGATGATGATGATGATGATGATGATGATGATGATGATGATGATGATGATGATGATGATGATGATGATGATGATGATGATGATGATGATGATGATGATGGGAGGAGGGAGGGGGGGGAGGAGGAGGAGGTGAGGAACGCGGGGCGCCGTCTCTTCAAAACGAGGACCCAACACCACAGGATGGTTGGGAACAACAACAAGACAAATAGCGATAATAACAAGAATATGAATAATAAACAGAAAAAGAATAACAACAACAGCAACAACAATACTAATAAGAAGAAGACTAAAATTAGTACTAGTACTAATAAATATTATTCATACACACATACATAAAATAATGCATACAATAAAATATCATACCAATAATAATGATAATAATAATACGAATAATAATCATACTAATAATAGCAATACGAATAATAGCATCAACCACAACAAAACAAGAAGGAGAAGCGGCATAACATAAACATAAACTTTTGGCGCTCCGCGCGGTGTTCTTGGATCCGCGCTGGACCCCCCTCCCTGGCGCGCTCCGCGCAGGGGCGGCCCCCGAGGCGCCGCCAGGGGGGCCCAGAGCGGATCCGAGAAATCCGCACGGAGCGCTCAAAGTGTATATTCATGCCTTTTTTTTCCTTCTTCGACACACCCCGACAGCACACAGGGCCAGAGCGCGTCCCCACGCGACGTCTGCACAAGACCAAAAGCACCTGGCCGGGATGCGGGGCGGGATGGCTCCGGACGCCGAGGCGGCTCTCTTTTCTAATCGAGAGCAGCTGCCAGACTGTCGCCAGGGAAAACACCAAAGGACCACCTCACGGCCCAACTTAATGCGCTTCGGTCTCTGCGACTCGATCGGTATCCAGGCACGGGTTCCGAAGCTCTTCGCCAGAGCGATCCCCCAATGCCAATCCCAATCCAATCCCAAGAATCCTCGTCGCGGTCCCCCACCTGTACCACACACTCCGCATTCTCCACCTGCTACGTTGGAAAGATAGCGTGCACAAAAGCACGCTATCCATGTGAGGCGATCCCCCCGAGAGGGCCCCTGATGTGAACACCATCCTCCTGCCAGGGCTTCTTCGGTGCACGCCATCCCTGAGGTGGGGGATAGCGTGTAATGAGCGGGCTGGCAGCGCCACATCGCACGCTACCTTTCCAACGCCAGTCGTAGTCCACACCCCTGTCCCTTCCGGATAGCCCCCGACCCGATTGGAGGCATGGCGCGGCCACGAAAGCCTCCTCATCCTGCTCCTCCTCCTCCCCCTCCTCCTCCTCCTCCTCCTCCTCGATCCTCATACTCCAATTCCTCCTCCTCCTCCTCCTCCTCCTCATCCAGGCCCCTTCCTCCTCCCCCTCCTCCTCCTCCTCTTCCTCCTCATCCTCCTCATCATCGTCCAGAGGGGATGGGCCAAGCCTTCACTCCAGCCTCCAGCTCGGCCTTGTACTTTTCGGCCGGGCGGGACTGGAAGGCGACCGGCTTGCCCTCCGACGCCCCGCAGGCGTTGTCACTCTCAAACCCGGGCCCTCACTTGCTTCTCCTTCATGACCCTCGCCGCGCGCACGAAGCGTCTGCACTGCGATACTGATACTCTGCCGCTGCGGAAGGGCCGTCGCAGCGATGCCCAAAGGCTGATGATAAAGCAAGGCTCAGGGAAGAGGCAGGTCAGAATCGGTTCCACAACGCGCGGCACGGTTGCAATTTGACCAGCTCACGACAGCTCGACGAAGCTGCAGAAACGTGTAGGTTAAAAATCACTTTCGGGCGAGGATAAAAATCAAAAGACGGAGGGGAAAAAAGTAGTAAAGAAGAAGGAAGGCATCGACGAGGCAGGAGGAAGAGACGTGGAGGGAGGCAGCAGCGAGCACAGAAAGACGCGACGGCTCACGCTAGGGCCTGCGCTGGTGCCGCGCACAAAACGGCGGGGAACGCACGCAGGGGGGGGGGTCGAGGACGCGGCGCCGCAATCCCCCCCCCGCTCTTGCCCTCTGAGCCCCCCCCCCTCCACGGAGCTCGTCTTGCCCATGCCGCACTCCTCGGCGGGCTGGACAAGGGAGAACATCCTCCTCCTCCTCCTCCTCCCCCTCCTCCTCCTCCTCCTCCTCCTCATCCAGGCCCCTTCCTCCTCCTCCTCCTCCTCCTCCTCCTCCTCCTCCTCCTCCTCCTCCTCCTCCTCCTCCTCGATCCTCGATCCTCGATCCTCGACCGTCCCTCCTCGACCTCCGTTCCTCCTCCGCCTCCTCCTCCTCCTCCTCCTCCACCTCCAGGGCGAGCGGAGGCGAAGGCAGTGAAGAAGCGAAGCCCTGTCTGAAAAGCCCGCGTGGGGCAGGACAAAAACTACTGCACGTTCAGATTGACAGCTCTCTGGATCACACCGCGCCCGCCCAAGAGGCATAATTAGGAACTATATCGCGCCAGGCATCACGGGTTTTAGCTTTCTGCTTCCACTCTGCGTGACAGGAGGCAACAGAGGGCCAGGAAGAAGAGCTGAAGAGGGACGAAGACGAGGACGACGACGAATACCACGACTATTACCACGACGGCAACACGTCGACGACGACCATGGCAAGGGCAACGGTAATGACACAACCGGCTCTGCGCAGGCGCCTGCGGAACCGTTCGGAGCGAGATCTTTGGACTTGCAAGTAAACCGCGCGTTTGGAAAAAACAGAGGCGCACAGTCGAAACATGGCAACACAAACGTGGATCAAGAAGACGAGCCTCTTCGCCGAAGGCCCGAAGACTCTCCGTTCCACTGCGATCTCATCCCCCCACTTCCGACATGGATGTGCATCTGCCCCGCTCATGAGATCTGCACACGCCGGCTAGAATGCGGCCGAAGACCAACACGATGCTCGCAGCTCGCCTGTCAACCCCCATTTTGCTGGATACCCTCAGGGTGCACTCCCATTCAAGCCCGCCCAGCGTGGGCACAACCAGCGGGCGCACTGGGTGCTACAATTGGCAGCTCTGCAACTGCGGCAGATCAAGCTGGTTCATCCTGGAAATGACCTCGACGGCAGGGCGGCCAAGACGCGGGGGGGCGACATTTGAGAGCGATCCTTGAAGTAGTTCCACGCTTTCGCGTTGCCCCCGATCGCCATCTGCGCACACAGAAGATCACAAAAACCACGCCAAGGCATGGTCCATCAACAAGCCAGGCACGTCCCTCCTCATTGCTGCTCCTCCCACTGCTCCTTTGCCTCCACCTCCACCTCATCCTCCACCTCCTGCTCCTCCTCCTCCTCCCCCACCTCTGCCTCCTCCACCTCCACCTCCACCTCCACCTCCACCTCCACCTCCTCCACCTCCTACTTGTCCTTCTCCTCCACCTCCACCTCCACCTCCACCACCGCGTCCTTCCTCTTCATCATCATCACCACCACCACCATCATCATCATCACCACCGCCACCACACCACCACCACCATCACCACCATCACCGTCATCACTAACAACAACAACCACAACAACAACAACAACAACAACAACAACAACAATCATTTTACCCGAACGCTCAGTGTTCTCCCCAGTGCCAGGGTTTTATTGCGACGCCAGCCAATACCCCCACTTCGTGGGGGGGCAATGCAAGCTCTACCAAACATCCACACGACTCTCGGGAACCACCCACACCCAGCTTCCCGCCCTATGACGTCAGGACACTTCACTTCGTGGCGCGCGGACGATCGTGGATACTACACTGGCGTGGAGTACACACCCGCAGAGGTTGATCACTTGTTTGGGCCCCGAGGGGGGAAGCCTCCTGGCGCCGCATGGGGTCCTCTTGAGAGGCTTTGGGGGGCTTCTTGAAACCATGTTGGGGCCTCTTGGGGGCTTGTTGGATCCTCCCGGAAGACTCTGGGAGCCGCTTGGACGCCTCCTGGGGCCATCTTGGGGGCCTCTTGGAGCCAACTTGGAGCCTCTTTGGAACCTCTTGGGGCCCTCTTGGAGTCCTCTTGGGGCCTCTTGGGACCAGTAGCTCGCGCGAGCTCATGTAACATAAATGTTGGAAAACCATTGTTTTTTTTTAAAGGATTCGGACAGCGCGCGCGGGGGGAAATTTTGAAAAGTCTTGCAGCTGTTTTTCGAGGACCTACGGTGCGATTCGTGTGATTTTATGATGCGCGGTGCTAAAATTCTGAAAACCCAATGATTTTTGGAGGTTTCGGCGTGCGCGCGCAAAGAAAAAACGAATATGTCCCGCATAATATTTTTTGACAGGGATGATGGCCCTGGCAGATGCGCAAACGTTGTCGCAGAAGTTCGAAAAAGTTGCTCGCAAAAGACCGTTTAACAGAATTGTTTAAAAAGTGTTGGTTTTCCTAGGAATCCGCAAGAGCGCGCGGAAGAACATTTTGACAATTTTTTCTTAAAAAACCATTGGGTTTTTGATGTTTTTATGTTAAAAACGTTACGAAACCTAAGGTTTTGGAAGGATTTCGTCTTGCGCGCACGAATGTCCACTTTACCTTATTTTTTGCAAGGGATTCTTGCAATTTGATCAAGTAAGAACAAGAATTTTCATTTTATAGTATTTTTTACAAGGGAAAGCGGGGGGGAACAAAACAACCGGATCCGGACACAATCGTTTTGCCTGAGACTTCCTCACGAAAATGATGAAAATGTAGCTGCGGCCTAGGCGCGGCGGGGGGGCCGTGCACCAGGGGTCCCAACAATAATTATTCTTAAGAAGAAATAATGTTCAACGACATCATCAACAACAACAACAACAACAGCGACAGCAGCAGCAACAACAATAATGAAAAAGCCACATTAGCAACAGTAACAGTAACAGCAACAGCAGCAACAACAACAGCAATAGAAATCGCAACAGCAACAACAACAGCAGCAAACATAACAACAGCAGCAACAACAACGGAAATTACAACAACAGTATTCACAACCGCACGAATTACAATAACCATAACATCAACACTAACAACACCAACAACAACAACAGCAACAACAGCAAGAACAAGGACGCCGTCGTCGTCATCATCATGCTCAGGTTCATGATCAGCATCGTCAGCATCACCATCAGCACCATCATCACCATCATCATCGTTATCGTAATCGTTATCGTCGTCATCAGTATCATCCTCAAAAACATCATTAACATGATCAGCATCATCACCGTCGCCATCACCATCACCATCATCACCATCACCATCACCATCATCAGCATCAGCATCAGCATCATGATCATGATCATCATCATCATCATCATCAGCAGCAGCAGCAGCAGCAGCATCATCCTTCACCCCTTCTCCTTCCACATCTTTCCTCAGCCCTACTCCTTCCTCTTCATCACCCTCCTCCCTCCCCTGAGATCCGACGTTGCAGAAAAAATACATCACCGCAAAAAAACATCACCGGAGCCCCAGACCCTTTCTTTCTGCGACATTTTTCGAGCCAGATCGATGTGTGAGGATCCCAGAGCCCGAAACTGGGCAAAAACGCCCGATCTGCAAAAAATGCCCCGGCGACATGGGCGTGGAGAAAGTCAGGCTCCAAATCGAGCCGCATCGCCGATCTCCGACCCCATCTGGGAGGCCTAGACACCTGCGCCTCCGCCCGCGGCCCTGGCATCCGCCCCTCCTCACCACGGGCGCCCGCGGGGCCCCCGGCGTGCGAGCCGCTCCGAGCACCGGGCGCCCCCCGGTGCTCCGGGCCCTCACCCGCCCGAGCTTCGACCCCGCCGCGGCGGTGCGGATGCGGCAGGAGCAGGCGACCCAGGATCGTAAAATCGGGTCGAACTGAGGTGCTCTGCGGCAGCTCATGGGAGCCTCTTGCACGACCCTGCTGGCTCTTGCGGAATCGCGCTCTGCATCGGCGGGAACCGACGCTGCTCGACGCGTAAAGGGCGCCATCTCATCGCCTGACCAGACGCTGATCGACGCGAACGTGCTCTCGAGACGAAATTACGGGGGGGGCACACGAGGCCCCCACAGCGTGCTGCCGGAGGACTGTGTGTCGGATCGGGCCGCAGCGGCTCGGAGTCACGAGCGAATCGGATCGGCTGCGCCAGGGTATGCACGACAGCGCCACGCAAGCGTCGGGTCGCATCGGGCCGCTGGAAGATCGCGATCAGATCGGATCATGGCTGCCGACGTCGAGAAGTCGAATCGGATCGATGAGGTCGACATGGAGCCTTGGTGGCGAAGGCGCTCTTGCGTCGGCCCGTCCAGATGGGCGGAAAATGGCTGGAGTGGCTGGCTTACGTACTAGAATAACAAGATGGGCCCAAGGGACCTCCTCCTCCTCCTCCTCCTTCTCCTCCTCCTCCTCCTTCTCCTCCTCCTCCTCTTCCTCCTTCTCCTCGCTCGCCACGAGCACACCCAACATATAGTACCAGTGATACGAGTTGGGCCGGCGGAGTGAGCGAAGCGATCCGCCGCCCCACCAGGTACGGCGTGTGAGATCCCCGCCGCATGGTCTGCAAGGACCAATTCCCCCCGGGTCATCATACATACTTACTCATCCTACCCTCTCCGCGGCCTGCTCATTCGGCCTGCCAGGGGGCCCCGGCTGCGGACTGGGCATCCGCTGGCCGCCATTGTGACCACAACTCACGCACGCCTTCGCACAGGAGACCTCTGGACGCTTCTCTGGGGGCCCTCCTGGGCAGTCTGTGGTGCCTTTCGGAGCCCTCTTGGGCTCATTTGGCCTGTCCCAGGAGCCCACTGGGACCGTCGCGGAGCCCACTGGGACCCCTCTTCGAGTCATGTTGGGCCGAAAACCCGACGATGGCAAAAAAAAAAAAAACAATGAATATAAATGATGTTTGCCGTTTCGGGCTTCCCTTTGCGCCTCTTGTAGCTCTCTTGGAGCCGCTTCTGACACTCGTCCAGCCTATCTGGACGCGTGGGCATATCTTCCACCGACCCCAGACCGTCCAAAGGCCTCTTGGAGCCATCTTGTTCGATGTTCTTTTCTCCCCCGCATCACCAGAAATACCATCTCTGAGTATATCACAAGGGCAACGAGCCCATGCATCCCACGACGGACAACGTTGTGCCCAATCGGAGAAGAGAGGGAGGCGGAAAAAGGAGCGGGGCTATTAGTTCGAGCAAAACCACGACAAGACATCGTCGCATTGGACAGATATGCAAGCCGTGCGCTACACTCGCCGTCAGTTTCGCGGCTGGCGCCAGACGCAAACGAGTGGGAAGTAAAAGCACGCCCCAAAGATGGACAACTTAAGCCAGAGGGTAAAAGGCAATGCCGATGGCGTCCCACATTGGCACCCTATCGCTGGCGCATCGTACGTCGACGACACAATAACTAGCGCACGATCAGGTAACTACTCACACAATACCAAAAAAGTACTCAGGTCTGGTCGACTGAAAAATGAATGGCAATGCCGGCGGTGCATGAGCAGCTCGGCCTCAGAACTGCCGCGCGATCGCTATGCTGCGGCCAAGGCCGAGTCCTCCTGAATGCTGCCGAGGAGCTTGTCCTGCTTACTCTGCCCGCTCTTCTGCCGCTGGAACTCGCTGGCTCCGCTCAGCTGCCGCTCGAACTGCGACTCCAAAGCCACCGACTGCTGGATTGTGTCCCCTTGAGAATGGACATAGAGATCGTGGACAAGGGCGAGGCTGCAGTACAGGCCCGAAGGCATGAGGAGGGTCCAGAGCTTGAAGGCGTTGTACGCGATGGAGCCCAAGCACGCGCCTCCTATGAATCCGGCAAGGAGAAGACTCATGAGAATCACCTTGTTTCTGTCCGCGGTATGCTCTTCCCAATCTTCTGGCGCAAAGTTCCTGCATTTCGTCAAAAACCTGGCGATGATTCGACCAATGGCCAAGCCCAGGTCCGTGCCCGTTCCAGTCATGTGGGTCGTGCGAATGACGTTTCCGCTCCAAGACGAGCAGAGCCCGTTCTGGAGGCCGCAGCCAAGGGCCAAAAGGTGCGCGCCGAGAATACCGTGGCCGCGCAAGACTATCGGACTGGCCATGATGAGCGCGAGTATCATGAGGACAGACGAGTAGGGCGCCTTGCCGATCTTAAGCGTCGCCTTGGGGATGAGCAGGCCGCACAGGGTTGACCCGATGATGAAGTCAAGAACGAGCAGCGCGGGCGTTGGCACATCCCCAGGCTGGTCTCCAAACTGGCGGAGCCCGATCGCCGTGGAAGAGCCGGAGACGTGGCTGACGTACGTGCTGAACTTGGCGAACGCCACAGCATTGACCATTCCAGCGCAGATCGCCAAGGTCAAACCGCTCACGTGCACGCCGATCTTCTCACTGTTGTTGCTGATGGCCTCGAGCACGGCAAGCCTATCCTGGAGCGCAGCGCGGAAATGGCGGCTGTCGAGCGCTTCGCCTATTGACCCCATAGCCTCGTCGCTGATCATCAGTGACTCCGAGCGTTGCAACGTGCTGGGCATCTTCGCGTAAAAGTGAACCTTCTTGCACGCGAGCGAGCAAGGAAGACACTGAACCACTGGATTTAGCTCGGTGACTTCAGCCAAAATGGCTTGAGCCAGAATGGCCAGGAGGGCCTACTGGAGCCATCTTGGCTCGTGCGGCAGCCCTTTGGGCAGCCTCTTGGCCCGTCTGGGGAGCGGCCAGGGGGGTCTCCGGAGAGCATTCAACTTCCGATGCTCCCTTGAACCTCTCCAGGAGGCGGGGCCCAGCGCCGATCCGCGAAATCCGCGCTGGACCTCCGAGGTCTCACCTCTCCTCCTCCTCCTCCTGCTCCTCCTCCTCCTCCTCCTCCTCCTCCTCCTCCTCCTCCTCCTCCTCCTCCTCCTCCTCCTCCTCCTCTCCAGTATTCTTCTTCGGTTGTGTCATCCGTTTCTAGAGGGCTCCTAGATGGGGTCCGATGCATCGCCGCATCGGCGATGCATCAGACCCCCACGACACCCCCGAGAGGCCCCACAAGGCGACCAAGGGGGCCCCAGAGGCCGCCATGCCCCCGAGAAGCCGCCCAAGATACCCCAAGGAGCCTCCCAAAGAGTCCTCTTGTCCACGACCCTCTGTCCGAAGGCGCCCCTGCTGCCCCAAGCCCCCTCCCCGCGGACCCGTCTGAGAAGCCGAAATCGAAATCCGTAGCTCCCTTCTTTCGCTGTCCCCTTTGTTGTGACATCTGGGCGGCCTTTACCGCTGCCTGCGAATATCGCGGGGCCTTCTTGGGCAGTTTCTGAATATTCGTGGACCCCCTTTGTGCCATCTTCAACCCCATGTGGCGCCCTTCGCTGTTTAGACCCCCCAGTCCGCCTTCAACACCCAACCGCTGGCTCCGCGTTCCCCCCCAAAAAATGCGCCTGCGGTGTCTGCCCCCGAAGGGGCGTCAACTGAATAACAAATAGGCCCAAGAGAGCGCCAAGATGGCCCAAGAGACCTCCATGACGGTCACACAACGGCCCCAAACTAGCCCTGGAGGCCTCCACCACGGTGCCACTCGTCAACCTCTTTCCACTTCGGTCGTCCTGGGTGACATCTTCCAGGGTCGGCGGAACATGCCCCAAGGCCTTCGACCTACGGCATAGCCTTCCAGAGGGCCGCGCTGTTGTCTGGGCCCCCTCGGCTGCGTTCCACGCGCCCAGGAGAGGGGCCTGGCGCCGATCTGGGGAGCCCGCGCGGATCTCCGACACTTGGCGCGCAACTTCTTCTTGTTCGATGCTTGTCACGACCATCAGTAAACGTAGGGGGCGATTGACCCTGCAGACAAGCGCGTCCCACGATTCGCAAAGTAAATAGTCGCAAATCGCCTGGATCCGCCGCGGGGGATTAACGATATATAACATCAAGGCAAACCAGCGTTTTGGGTGACGTTTGCGAGTAGACACTTTGCGAGTAGTGGAACGCGCTCGGTGATACAATGATCGCGCTACTAACAGGAACGCTGAACTCGCCGGCCCAGCGGGCCCAAGACGTGCTGGAAGCCCCGGCAAAAAAAAGTTGCCAAGAGCGTTGCAAGAGCACCCCACGGTGCGCGCAGGAGCACTCAAGAGGGTCCGACACGGCCCACGAGCGCCCCGAGACGTTGAAGATGGTTTATTGATGGTCCACGCGGTCTTCCTAACGCCTCTAGACGCCTCCAGAGCACAAGGAAGCAACCATCCGCGTTGGTGCCCATCGATATTCAGCGTTGGTGCCCACCGATGTGTTCCAAAGATTGGGGCATTTCTGCTCTCTCGCGGTTCCGACCGTCCGGGACGGCCCACGGGGCCCCAAGGAGCGCCCCAAGACAGCCCAAGAGGCTCCCAGGAACCCCCCAACCACGGTCCAAGAGGGCCCCAAGGTGGCCCAAAGAGGCCCCCAAGAGGGCTCAAGAGGGCCCCCAATAGGGGGCCAGGAGGGGGAGCCCGAACTGTGATGTTGAGCCTTTCCCTAAAGATGGCCACGGAGACTGCCAAAGGCCCACAAGAGGCCCCCAGAGGACCCCGAACCCCCACAAGAGGCATCAAGAGGCCCCACGAGGCTCCAAAAATGCCCCCACGAGCACGCAGGCAAGTGCCAACGATGCTGCAACATGGGCCAGCGGAGTGACTGAAGCGATTGACGCAGAAACGAAAAGGCTTTCGAGCCATGTTGAACTGAAAACCCGAAGAAGCGCAAAATCTTCGAAACCAAGCGGATGTTCACGATTCTGACCGCATCTGGCTTATAATTCTGCCTATTGGAAGTCTCTTGGGAGCTCTTGTGACAATGTTGGGGCCTCTCCGGCCATCGTGGAATATGATTGAAGCCTATTGGGCCGTCCTCAAGGCATCGAGAAGCTCTAGGACCGTCGGGCCACCCTCTTGGAATCCTTTTCAGCCGTCCAGGACGCCCCCTCAACCCCCAAGAGCATCTGTAAGGGGTCAAAACTGATGTTCCGACGCCCTTTTTGCCACTCACTGTTTCTCTCGCGATGTCCTCAGCAGCTTGGGACACCTGACGGGTGATCTGTCGAGCTGTTTTCAGGGCCTTGGGGCCATCCTGGCCGGTTTGGAGAAATTATCCGACCCTCTGGGGCCGTGTTGGACACCTGTTTACGTGGCCCCCTTCTGCTTTCACATGCCTCCAAAAATCTGTTCACGGTCGTCCCACCTGGTTCCTTTTGCATCCCAGCAACCACGTTCGACAAAAATGGGCCGCTGGAGTCTATCCCCTCAGGGGTGTTTAACCCGTCGTCGTGGTGGTCGTCGAGGTATTCGTCGTCGTTACCGTCGTCGTCCATGTTTTCGTGGTCGCCGTCGCTTCCCTCATCCTCCTCCACCTCCATCTGAACATACACCTGAACCTGCCCACACTCCTGACTCCCCCTCCTCCTGTGCGCCCTCTTCGTTCCCCTTCCCCCCACAAGCCCCTCACAATCACGTCACCTCACCCTCCACGCATCTCGCTCGCACTCCTCCCACTCCTCATGCTCTTCTCCTCCACAGATTCATCCTCTCCTCCTCCTCCTCCTCCTCCTCCTCCTCCTCCTGTGGATCCTCCTTGTCTTCCTCCTCCTCCTCCTCCTCCTCCTCCTCCTCCTCCTCCTCCTCCTTCATATTCATCCTATCCTCCTCCTGTGGACCTTCCCCCTGCCCCTCTGCAGTTCCGCATGCCCCCTCATGGGCAACCTCCGCCCTCCCCGAACACGTGGTCATCCCTGGCCTCCTCCGCCTCCCCTGTATGGGTCTCCTTACATATCCTGCTAAGCTTCCGTTCGCGCACGAGCTCTACACGGCGGGTGGAAACAGTGGGTAATACCATGAAGCATGAAGACGGACGAAGTATATGGGGTTCAGACCCTCCCAGAGAATGACACACCATAGCAAGAGCACATCGAGCCTTGAAATGGGAAAGCGCCCAAAGCAGATTGGGTTTTGGGAACAAAAAATGTGTCCAACAACCGACGAGTAGTCCCTGACACAAGCGACCAGACCCAAAGAAAGTGGAAAGGCGTTGCCTGCCCCCTCGGGGGCGCTCCAGTGAACAAGGAACGAGACGGGGTTCTTGCGGCAGCGGCGAGCCTCGGCCACGACTAGGCTCCCCGACATCGAGATGTTGTGGCAACTCATTGGCGCCTCCCGCGTCATGTTGCTGGCTCTTGCGAATTGACGCTGACCGACGCAAATCGACACTACATCGGCGTTAGCTAGCGCTAAATCGGCGTTCATCAACGCTAAAACGGCGCTCTCTCATCGGCTACCAGACGCTAACGCACGCAAATGCCTTCGAAAGACGGAACTGGAGGAGGAGGAGGAGGAGGAGGAGGAGGGGGAGGAGGAGGAGGAGGAGGAGAGGAGGAGGAAGAGCAGGAGGAGGAGGAAACACTTAGAAGACACTTCCCGAAGCAACTGGGGTCGCGCGAAAGGGGGGGGGGGGGGGCACGCCGCGGCCCCACGGCCGCGCCCTCGCCCGCGGGCACAGCGACTCGCGCGGGCCTGTCCCACAGGCGACGGCCTTTCTCGCACGGGCAGACACTATGCCCTAGCAGGGCGGCCACTGCCCGTCCGCGCCCTCTCGAGCGCCCCTTCTCGCGCGGAGGCTGCCACTGCCCTCGCAACGCCTCTCTCGCGCGAGCTGGCAGCACCCGCGGACGGCTGCCACTGCGCTCGGCGAGGGCGGGGTCCACGGCAGCGGCGGGGTGCGTAGAGTTAGCAGCAGAGAAACCCGCCGCTTGCCGCACCCTCGCCCTGGCGCCCCGCGTCTCAACACTTGGCTGGGCGCCCCCTTCCCCCGCGAGCCCCGCGCTTTGCGCGGGCCGTGATGCATGGCCTGCGCAGCACCCTCTGCTGCTGTCCTGCATCAGCCTCGCGCGTGGGCCTCGACTGGCACGGCAGCCACTTGCTGGCGATGACCCGCCGCGCTGCCCACATCGCCTGGCTGACCCCTCTCCCGCGCTCCTTCTCGCACGCGCTGCCCCCAGCGCTGTAGCTTGATGTTGGGCTCTAGCTTCGCCTGCCCCTTCTTCTCGCGCGTCCTGGCCCAAACGCTGTAGCTGATGGCAGAGGGCTCGACCTTCGCCCCCCACTTCTCGCACGCGCTGCCCCCATCGCTGTAGCTGACGATATGGGGCTCTAGCCTCGCCTGCCCCATGTCGCACGCCCCGGCCCCAAAGCTGCAGCTGCGGGTGCCGGGCTCTACCTTCGCCCCCCACTTCCCGCACGCGCTGTTCCCAGGCTCGTCCTTCGCCTTCTGGTGCCACTGCCCGTCCTTTTGGCACTGCTCGCCCTTCTCGCGCGCACAACGTCCGTCGCGCGAGGCGACCACTGCCCGTCCGCCAGAGGCTGCCACTGTCCGTCCACTTGAGGCTGCCACTGCTTGTCCATCTCGCACGCTCAAGGCTGCCACTTCCAGCCCCCATCACAAACCCTAGCCCAAAACTCCTGTCGGCCGCCCTGGCATCCTCCACGCTCGAGGCTGCCACTGCCCGTCCTTCTCGCACGCGCGGGGTCCGACTTCTTGAGGCTGCCACCGCCCGTACTTCTCGCAAGGTCGGCCCTGGCCCTCACAGAGCTGCCACTGCCCGCTCTTCTCGCACGCACAAGGCCCGACCCCTCTCAGCTGCCACTGCCCGCCCGGTTGAGGCGACCACTGCCTGTCCACCTGAGGCTGCTGAGGCTGCCGCTGCCCGTCCTTCTCGCACGTACAGTCATCGCACTCTCGGCGCTGCCACTGCCAGCCCTTCGCGCACACCCTGATCCCCGCGCTGTAGCTGATGGTGCTTGGCTCTGCCCACTAATGTGGCTACAGTAGTCGGGCTCCAGCTTTGCCTCTTGCCCGTTCTTTTTACACGAGCTCCCCGCACGACGCTGTCACTGCCCTGCATCATCGGCCTTCCTGGCTTCCTCTGCCTTCTTAGCCTCCGCGGCCTTCCTGGCCTCCTCTGCCTCGTCCGCGTAGCCCTGCACCCACTGCAGGCCCCACCACGGCTCCTCGGCTGTCGTCGCTGCCTCGCCCGCTCCGATCTCTACGCTGCAGCGGATGGCGTCGGGCTCGACCTTCGCCTCCCAAGACTGCCACTGCGCGCTAAAGTGCCAGCTGAAGTCCAGCTCCGTTTGCCTGCACGTTGCCAGGCGCAGGAGCCGCCACGCGCGCCGTCGGCTGCTGCTTGGGCGCCTCTCACAACTCGGGGGCGCACACGAGCTCTCGCCTCCAGCCATCGGCGGCACCTGCCTTCGCGCCTTCCCTCGGCGCTCGGGGCGTCCTGTGATCGCGGGCCCGGCCGCGCCCGCCGCGGGGGGAAACGGCAGCGCGGGGCCTCGCTGGGAGGCCACCTAGGAGGAGGAGGGGAGGAGGAGGAGGAGGAGGAGAAGGAGGAGGAGGAGGAGGAGGAGGAGGGGGGCGGGGAGGAGGACGGGGGAGGAGGAGAAGGAGAAGGGGTGAGTTGGGGGGAGGAAAGAGGATGAGGGGGCGAAAAAGGAGGGGGGAGGAGGGAGGAGAAGAGGAGGAGGAGGAGGAGGAGGAGGAGGAGGGAGGAGGAAGAAAAGAAGGAGAAGGAGGAGGTGGGGAGATGGGGAGGTGGTGGGGAAAGGGTAGAGGGCGGAGAAGGGGCGGAGGGGGGAGGAGCGAAGAAGAGTGGAGAGGAAGAGTAGTCAGGTTCGCGTTACTGAAGCTTTGTGGGCGTCTGCGGGGCTTCCCGTCACCACGGCCGATTCCGCATGTAAAGTCCGGGCAGAACACGACCCAGGAGAGATCCTGGGGCCAACTTCTGGGAAGGAGGATGAGGAGGAGGCGGAGGAGAAGGAAGAGGGGGAGGAGGAGTAAGATTGTAAACCCAAGATTCACCAACGATGCAGGGATAAAGCCTCCCTCCGAGCTCCCTCTTCATAGGCATCTACAAAGATTCACGTCCACTGCGGAAAATGCCCCGTTGGGGGACAACCGTTGCAAAACCCTCAAGCGTGCCAAAACACCATTGTCGGAACTCTCGGAACTTCAACGCCACGAATCAACCTCACTGCTGCGTCATGACGATGCTAAATCGCGCCAAATAACCATCCCTTGGACTTCAACACCGCGAATCAACGTAACTGTTGCGCCCTGACACTCCTGAAACACTCCTAAACACAATTTCCGGCACGATAACCATGGAAATCGGTGAAACCCTTGCACATTGTTGAAGCGGATGTGCGCGGCGCTAGGGCGAGAGCCACATGTTGACAAAGAACTCCCTCAATCCGTGAAACTGTTGCATATTACAAGCTTCAGGATCAGAAATGGAAAGGAAGTCTCTGGCGAAACGCCCAGCCCGTCCTTTCGACCAGCCTAGGGGTGCGATAGGAATGGAGGAGGAGGAGGAGGAGGAGGAGGGGGAGGAGGAGGAGGAAGACGGGCAGGAGGAGGGGGAGGAGGATGGGGGAGGGGGGAGAAGAGAGGAGGGGCGGAAGAGGGAGGGGGAGGGAGGGGGGAGCGAGGACGAGGAGGATACGATGCGGTGCGATATACAAGCACTGCTACAGCTTTGAGCCTTCCTTGCCTCACCGTCCCTGTCCATTCAGGCCGTCAAAGCTTTACCAAAACACTATACCCCCTGCAAACCAGCAGGCGAGGACGTCGCTCGGGCCCTCAGGGACACCCTAACAACACCAGAGCAGTACCGACAGGGGCCCCCGTCAAACATCTCCAGTTGCATGCAGGTGGATTCATGAACTGCCTGCCACAGCCTGGCAGGACCAGCAAGCACTTATGGATACAGTCACGCATGTTGTTTAGCTGGGAGGAAGAGGAGGAGGAGGAGGCGGAGGTGGTGGTGGTGGTGGAAAACGTTGACGAAGACGACGAAGACGACGACGACGATGACGACGAAGAGGGGGGGAGGTGAGGAGGTTGAGAAGGGGATGAGGAGAAGGATGAAATGGAGGTGTAGGAGGAGGAGGAGGAGGAGGAGGAGGAGGAGGAGGAGGAGGAGGAGGACGAGGAGGAGGAGGAGGAGGGGAGGGGAAGGGGGAGAAGGAGGAGGAGGAGGATCGAACAGGGGGAGGAGGACGAGGAGGAGGAGGAGGAGGAGGATGGAAGAGGGGGAGGAGGACGAGGAGGAGGAGAAGGAGGAGGAGGAGGAGGAGAAGGACTGAGGAGGGGGGGAGGAGGTTGAGGAGAGGGGGGAGTAAGAGAAGGCGGTGGAAGTGGAGGTGGGGGGAAGGCGGAGGGGAGGAAAGGGAGGAGGGGAGGAGGAGGAGGAGGAGGAGGAGGAGGAGGAGGAGGAGGAGGGGGAGGAGGAGGGAAGGAGGAGGGGCCGAGGGGAAGAGCTCTCCTCCTACAGTCTGGGCTCCTTGGAGGGAGCCCGATACTTCCCCCACGGGCCAACCTCCTCGAAGGACGCCGCGGAACCTTCCTCATGTCCTTTTTCCCTTCTCCTCTCCTCTGTCCTCCTTCGTCCTCCGTCCACCTTCGTGTTTCGCCGCCTGCTCCTCTTTCTCCTCCTCCGCCTCCGTCCTGAGTCCTGCGTCCTCCGTCCTGAGTCCTCCGCCTCCTCCTCCTTCTCCTCTTCCTCCACCGCGTCCGCCTCCACCACCGTCCTCCGCTTCCTCCCCGTCCCGTTCCTTATACACAACTCCTCCCTGTCGCATCCCCAGGCGTGTCGGCTGGGCAGCTGGGCGTCTCGCCTGAGACTTCCTCACTCCCTATGTTCCTGAAGCTCAAACCTTGCCATCGCTTCGAGGATGGAGGCGGGGTGGTTTTCAAAATGTGGACCTCGCCTTAACGCCGCGAACAATCATCCAAAAGTTCGCACCAGCTTCACGGATGGATGGAGGAGCCTTTTCAAAACGGTGCTCTCGCCTTGGCGCGGCGCAGATTCGTCTGATGATTGCGCAACACTTTCACAAAGGCCAACCTTTTCAAAATGAGCCGTTCACCTCAGCACCACGCACATTCGTCGTAAGGTTCGGAACATCTTCAGGGATGGAGGGGTGGTCCTTGTGGCTCTCACAATAGCACCGCGCACACTCGTCTTTAACTTTTGCCACAGGTTCGGGAATGGAGGGCGGTTCCTTTTCAGAGTGGGGCTCGCCTTGCGCCACGCACGTTCGTGGCAAAGCCGAAAACAATTACAAAGAAAGATGGAGCACAGGTCGTTTTCAAAATGGGGCTCTCGCCTTAGCGCCGCGCACAGCTTGTTTCTCTAAAAGCATGCAGCAGTTAGAAGGATAGAGGATGGCTCCTTTTCCAAATGGGACGCTCGCTTCAAGCTCCCCTCACTTTAAGGACCAACACCTTGAACACATGTAGCACTGCACGGATCAAGAGTAGCTCACCTTCCAGATAGAGCTCTCGATTGATATGTCCTCGAAGCGGATGGGGGTCGGTCCTGTTTTTCGAAAGGGGGATAATGCTGGACACCTCGTTGAACTGTAAGATCGAAGTACTCGCGTTCGTGATTACGCGCCATAAGGATCCAAGTCTGTTCCTTTTCAAGACGGGGCCCTCGCAAAAATAGCAGGCCCATATGGCGCTGGCCTTACCAGCGGAGAACTTCTTCTGAAGAGAAGGACAACGGAAGGGAGGGTGTAGTGCCGAATCGCTGGTGTATCGTGGAATGATCCTCCTCATCATCCTTTCTCCTCCTCCTCCTCCTCCTCCTCCTCCTCCTCCTCCTCCTCCTCCCCCTCCTCCTGCTCCTCCACCTCCTCCTCCTCCTCCTCCTCCTACTCCTCCACCTCCTCCTCCTCCTCCTCCTCCTACTCCTCCTAGCTCTCCTCCCCCTCCTCTGCCTCCCCTCCTCCTCCTCCTCCTCCTCCTCCTCCTCCTCCTCCTCCTCCTCCTCCTCCTCCTCCTCCTCCTGCTCACCCATCCGCCTCCTCCTGCTCCTCCTGCTCCTCCTGCTCCCCAGTCCCAACTCCTCCCACTTTCTTTCGCAGAGCCCTGGTCCTTGCGAGCACGACAGCCTGCCATCAAAAACTGCCCCCCCCCTCCTTCCCACTCGCGCCCCCCCTCCCTCTGCTCATCCTCCCCCTCCCCTTCCCCTGGTGTGAGCGACGACCCAGGAGCGGAGTCGGGACAGCGCCGGTGGCGAAAGTCATCCCCCCGCCGCGCACGCTAGCCTGCACCAGCTGGTCTGGGTAGAACTTGTCCATGTCCACGCTCCTGGGATGACTCCAACGCATTCGGGCAGCCTCCTAACCCAGTAGGTTGGGGTAGAAAACGGAGGAGGAGGAGGAGTAGGAGGAGGAGGAGGAGGAGGAAGAGGAGGCGGAGGGGAAGGAGTAGGAGGACGATGAGGAGAAGCAGGAGAGAAGATGAAAGAGGAGGAGGAGGAGGAGGAGGAGGAGGAGGAGGGGAAGGAAGAGGGGGAGGGGGGGAGGGGGAGGAGGAGTAGGAGGAGGAGGTGGAGGAGGAGGCGGAGAATGTGGAGCGAAGGAGGAGGAGGAGGAGGAGGAGGAGGAGGAGGAGGAGAGCGGGCGGTTTTCCGAAGGCACTCGAGTGCGGTGTTCACAAAAGCCGTGTCGGAAGAAGGCGAACAATGGGGCTAAGGCGGGTCTGGGCCAGGCCTGGGCTGGGTCCCAGCCAGGCTAGGTCCAGGCCACTCTTGGAGTGTTGGGGGAGGGCCTGGAGGTTGGGCCCCGATCCCAAAACCAGCCCCCTAGGACTACATAGGAGAAAAGCAATCCTATCAGCGGGCATGCGAGAGGACAACCGAGAGGAAACATGACTCTGTCCGTGGACAAGATAGGGTTGCAAATGCAGAAATGACGCGCAGAGGGGGAGAGGGTCCCCCGACTAATTCGCGACGACTGTAGGAGGGCAAGGTATGGAGAGGAGGGCGAGGAAGGCGAGGAGGGCGAGCAGGGCGATGAGGGCAAGGGTCAGGAAAAGAAGGAGGAGGAGGAGGCGGAGGAGGAGGAGGACGGGGAGGCGGAGGAGCAGGAGGCGGAGAAGAAGGGGGAGGAGAAGAGGGCGAAACGGGAGAGGTGCCGAACGAGGAGGGGCCGAGGGCAAGTCGAGGGCCAGGCCAGGGCTGGGGCGACGAAATCTATACATATCCACTGCTCCCTGGCCAGGCCCATCCTGGACCCAGCAGCGGTGTACGCCACGCCCTCCTGTCTTGGTCAGGAAGGCGTATACACGGCTCCTGGGTTCAGGATCGGCCTGGCCAGGGAGCAATGGATATGTATAGATTTCGTCGTACGAGGGTTGTTCGCACAAGCATTCGCTGTCTTTACGACGAAGCCAGGACGAGGACAACATCGGGTGAGGAGAAGCCGAGAATCTCTGAGATCCAGCGGCTTTGGAGGATGCATCGGGCGCCGCGGTCAACTCAGAGCGTTCCGGGAGGCTCTGAGTGAGCTCTGGAACGCTCTGGAACGGATGCATCCTCGTCCTAGCACCCTCTGACTTTTCCCATCTGACTCATCACTTGAAATGTACGCGCGCGTTCACCACGCGCCAGCCAGCGCCCGCCTCGAAACATACCATCAGTTCCCTCGCGCGCGCCAGTGCTCACCAACGCCGTCATGAGAGTTGGCCGGATTTGGGTTCGAAGAGCACCGCCACGATCCACGCCAAAGCCAGGTTCCCAAGCCCACGCATCCTCAGACCTCCGGTGGCGCGCAAACAAATCGCGAGCAATAGCAGCTTTCTGCCACCATGGCTAAGCAAACAGCTCGAGGTGAAGTTACAGGCAACTTATAATAGTTGTACCTGACGGGGGGGCTGGAACCACAGTTCAAAGTCAAGCGACACTTAAGTGTACAACCGAAGCTAAAGCCAACTTCATAGAAAAAACAGCAAGCACGACCCACAACGAAACCCTACAAGCATATAGCATGCGATTCATGATTTAAACTTAACGCACAATATGTTGGCGACGGATCACATCCATCCTCCCACAAAGCTATCTGAATAGCCCTTGCACTAGGAGATCCTTGTTTCCCTTCAAAGTCATTGGATCTGTTTTCCTGTTTTCACCCAGCGGCTTCGACCACACGCAAGAGTGGCCCTGGGTAAAAATGGCCTTTGGTGCGCGGTTCTTTGGGGGACGCGGGGTGGCCGAACCTGGGCGCGCGAGCCGCTGCTGACGCTTCGCGTTCAGCGATCGAAGGGCCCCATTGCTGACTCCCTACCAGACCACCCCAACCCAACCCGAAGACCCGAGTTTCGACCGAATTTCGGGTTGGGGGGGACACGGGCTTCATACGCGTTTTTTCCATGTTCCCCGACCCCCCCCCACTGGAAATGGAGGACGAATCGGGGCCTTCGGGTTGGGGTGGTTCGGTGGGCGGTGAGGTCGGGCCGCACCAAGGGTCTCTCCAGCGAGAGTCACTCTCGCCGCCCGTCGCCGTCTCGTGGCCGCACCGTGAGCCGGCCGGTCTCCTCCGGATTTCCGCCCGGGGGCTGCCCGTCGCCGCCCGGCAGAGCCGCCCCGCTCGCTGGCCGAGTTTTTTGGTTTCGGGGCTTTCGCTCGGTGGCCGCCCGTCGCCACCTCGTCGCCGAGCCGTGCATCGGGCTGTTGGAACACAGGAGTCTCGCCCCCCCCCCTTCGCCCAACGCCGAGGCCGAGGTTGGCCCCGCCGTTCGGGTTACGTTTGCTCTCTTGCCCTTTTACGACCGCCAAACCCAAGCATCTGACTCTACGATCAGAGGCAGTCACAGCATCGCCCCCCCCTCCCCCCCACCGTCCCCGTCAAGTCAAACGGTGCGGCGCAGATGCGTTGATCTGAAAAGTGCACGGTTTGATTATGCCTTGCAAAAATGCGAAGTTGGGATGCGTGCGCCGCTGCGCGCGCAAGTCAACATCATCCCGAACCGACGGATGACAGAATATCACGACATAGCGATTCAGCAAGTATCAGAAAGTGCTGTTCAACAATACGTTGACACAAGTTTGCGCGGGCGCACTCGTTGAACACATGAAAAGAAAGCATAGCAGCAACCAGGCCTGCATCGGAAACGCCGGGAAGACGCGCGACAGCAGTGCGCAAAGTTGTTAGAGTCTAGGCCCGGCACTGCTGCATGCCAAGTCCAGACTTGTCTTGAGCCGACTCACGCAGCAGCACTGGCAGGCCGAATGCTGCGCGATCGCGACCAGCCAGACATCGCGGGCAGCGCTAAATACACAGACGTGCTCTGCAAACCACGCCCTATGGGCTATGGGGCTGTCCCCTGCACCAGGCTTCGTGATTCCAGTCTGCGATCAACTACTTTCTGCATGCGAATTTACCATCTTTGCTGAGTTCCCGTCCGAACACAGGCCTACAAGGCAATCCCATGTCGCGCGGCTGCATTCGAGCACGCCCCCATCTGGGTCTCGGCCCAACGCTTCGTCCCATTCGCCACTCATCGGCTGCAGGGTCGCGAGACCTCGGAGCGCCTCGAAGGCAGTGGCGCCCAGTTCCTGCGCGGGCGCGGGACGCCGAACTTGCCGACCAGATGCCGACGCAGGTGACGCGCCCACTTGGCCAAGCACGAGCCTTCCTAGCCCATGGCAGCAGCCAGCTGGCCTCAGGCGCGGGCAGACGTGCTCCCCCCGCGAGCTGGGCCCCTCGCGCGCCCACGGCTTGGACACGAGAGCATGGCCCAAGAAACCGAACAAAACGAGCGGGATGAACTGCGTCTCGGCGCCCGGGTTGCCCAGTCGACCGGCCTGCCGCGCAACCCCCACTCGCGAAGGAGAGTCTCCAAGGTCTCGGGGTCACAGAGCCGAGAGCTCAGCACGCGCCGTCACGATGCAGACATGGCCAACACGTCTTCAGCTCGCCCCTGCGCTACAGAGAATAGATGCCCCGCAATTTGGCATCGGCAACAGGCTCGCCGCGAATCGGGCGGCGGCGATCTGCGGCACAATCTCTGAATCGAGCACTCCGCGTCCGCGAGAATATGTTTGCCCAAGCACCGCGGGGCTACGAACGTCGCAGAGGGCATCCCCGACGCGTGCCCGCCCCCGCGGATCACCACGCACCCTTGGACCATCCTCTGCTTCAAGTGCTCAAACTTCGAAGCCTCTGGGCAGAAGTGGGAGACCGCACGGTCTCAGTCTCGCCCAAGGCCCATGGTCGACGTGGATCTCATACCGCCAATAGGACCGCTCCACGGTTAGTTGCACCGCGTCGGCAACACGGGAAGCCAGCTGCGGGCCGATAGCGAGCATACAACTTCGGGCGCGGCGGCATCGTTGGCTGCGTGGACATCGAAGACAACCGCTACACCGTCGCCGGATCGATATACACTGTCCACTCAAGTCCTGTCCCGGCAGCTCTGGTCAATGACGACGCCCGACATGATATCGGACCGCGCCATGGGTCGCCCCTCTCCTGAGCCGTTCGCACACCATCGCGTAGCGGCTGCCGACCTTCGTCCGCCAACTTGCCGGGGCGCCTTCGCTTTGTGTCGCGGGGCACGCACGCGGCAGCGGACCCGCCAGGGAACCCTCGGATGACCTGCCTGAATATGATAATCTGGAGAATGGCGCACCCCCCCTGCGAACGAGTGGGCCCAGGCTTTCGAACTCGGGGCCCTGATCCACCTTAACAGCCATTGAACTCATGCGACCCCAGCATTTGCAATACTTTCCCAAAGCGTCGCCACCACTCCCGTCTTCGCGAAACGGAGGGCCCACCTGGACGCCGGGCTCAGCCGCGGTCGTGCGCCCAGTCTCCTTGCATGCCTTCCGCAGAGAGATGTCGGCAAAGACAGCCTCGATGATGCCCAGGCACAGGCGCATGAATAGATGTATGGCATTGTGCCCGTCAGGTACTCCCATGTCGTACACGTGCTGCAGGATGTCAATGGTCCGTGAGACCATGTCAAAAGGGCGCGTAGGTTCCTTGGTGGTCGTGGTAAGTTTCTTCCAAGCTGCCCTGGCCAGCATGTTTGATGTAAGCGGCATCCACGGCCAGTTGCCACGCAGCGAAATACATCTCAATGACTTCGCGCCAAGGCCAATCCTTGCTTAATTTCCACGTGGCGCTTTGCCTGCAGCTTTGACCATCTCGTTATGTTCGCTGCACTTGATGTACATGACTGGCCGCTGGTTGCAAGACCGAAACAGGGCACATGCGCCCTCCCACAACAAGGAGACTCGCTTGCTGGTCCCAGCTTGGGTCAATGATTTGCCGTCTCAGAACCAAGCCATGCGCATGGGATCCGAC